TCCGCCACCTTAAAACCGAGAGCACGGCACTGCGGGGCACTGCCGGGCACTGCCGGCCACTGCACACAATGGCCGGCCAGTCGATTGTACTGCGGCGGCACACTGATTCCCGCTGTCTCTCTCGCACTCGTGGGGCGTGCCCGGCGTGCCGCGTGGGTGCGAGAGAGACAGAGCGACGAAAACGGTCCTCAGTCTGCAGACGGTCTGAGCCCTCGCCGCGTGCCTGGCCCTGCCCTGGATGCGCCGCGCCACGCCCAATATGGCAGCCCAGCGGCCCAGCGGCCCAGCCAATAGCCCTTAATGGTTTCCGATACCCGGTCAGAAAGGCGGGGGGAAACGAAACGCGCGGCGGCGGCGGCGTTCGAACCCGGGACCTTCCGCTTCCAGGAGGACGAGCGCTCGACGTGGCGGGGCGGGGCCGTCGGGGCGCTGCTGCCCAGTCACCTGTGCCGTGAGCGGCGAGCGCGCACCTGAGCGCGACGAGGAACGAGGCTCTGAAGCGCCCGGCGAGTAGGCAACCCGCGCGCAGCCGTGCGTGGCAGTGGAGGCGCTGCCCACCTCGCAGGCGCCCTGCTCGCCCGGCCGCCCCGTCGCTCTGTCTCTCTCGCACCCCGACGCAACGTCCCGCGAGTGCGAGAGAGACGGTGCGCACCGCCACGCTCCACGCCGAGGGCTACGCCATGGCTACGCCGCGCCCTCCCGCAGCGCACGCTGCGCACGCTGCCGAGGATGACCCCCGTGCAGCACCGCAGCACCGCGTTCTAATCTTAGCCCCCCAAGTATGTGTCCCCGACGCACGGCGCACGGCCGCGCGGCCGCACGGCAGACGCGCCGGAAAGCCGAGCACGCTTTCAAAGTCTGTTGTGGCGGAGCGGCGCCACCGTGCACACCGAGGCCCTGACGCCGAGGCCCTGACGCCGAGGCCCTGACGCCGAGGCCCTGACGCCGAGGCCCTGACGCCGAGGCCCTGACGCCGAGGCCCTGACGCCGAGGCCCTGACGCCGAGGCCCTGACGCCGAGGCCCTGACGCCGAGGCCCTGACGCCGAGGCCCTGACGCCGAGGCCCTGACGCCAAGGCCCTGACGCCGAGGCCCTGACACCGAGGCCCTGGCGCTGAGGCCCTGACACCGAGGCCCTGGCGCCGAAGCCCTGACACCGAGGCCCTGACACCGAAGCCCTGACACCGAGGCCCTGGCGCTGAGGCCCTGACACCGAGGCCCTGACGCCGAAGCCCTGACACCGAGGCCCTGCACCGAGCCCTGACACCGAGGCCCTGGCGCTGAGGCCCTGACACCGAGGCCCTGGCGCCGAAGCCCTGACACCGAGGCCCTGACACCGAAGCCCTGACACCGAGGCCCTGGCGCTGAGGCCCTGACACCGAGGCCCTGACGCCGAAGCCCTGACACCGAGGCCCTGACACCGAAGCCCTGACACCGAGGCCCTGGCGCTGAGGCCCTGACACCGAGGCCCTGACGCCCAGGTGCTGTACACGCCGTGCCAGATAGGCATCGCCGGGGCGTTGCGTTGCGTTTCGTTTCCCCGACGAAGGCGAAGGCAAATGCAAACGAGCTGTCGGGCACTCCACCGCCATGCCGCCATGCCTTGCGTCGTCGCGGCCACCACGGCGCAGTTTTAAAAATACTGCAGCATCTCCATCTTCCATTGACACACGAACGCGGAAACATCGGTGTGGCGCGCCACGCGTGGTCCGCCGGAAAGGCCGGGCACATTCGCTGAGAGGGCCTAGGGCCGGTGCCTAGGGCCTCCACGCCGCGCGTGGGGTGTGAGTGTGTGCGAGTGCGCGCGTGTTGGAGAGGGAGAGAGAGAGAGACGTGGATCTGGAGAGGGACGGTGGGAGGTCTGCGAAAGGGATTTACGACGAAGCCGCTCATTCTTATCGCTACGCTCCGCGAAGACCATCACTCGAACAAAGTCCTCAAGAAGACCCCGTTACACTGTGAAAAGTGAATGGAAAGAGCGGCTTTCACGTGGGGAAGGGGTTTACAGTGCCGCGTACGTGCCAAAAGGACCCGAAAGGGCCCAGGTGAAATAATCTGCCAGCGAGCAGCGAACAATAGTCCTTCACAGTGTGCGCGTTGATATCGCTGAGGACGCACGTGCAAGCTGAGGCACCTTTTATCAATTAATATTTCTTTGTCAGCGCAAACCATTTACAAAAATTACAGTTTTGTTGTTGGCCAGAAACGCGGGATTTTTGTTTTTGTCTCTGCGGAGCGATTATTGGTGGCGGCGGCGGTCCACCGGCCTCGTATTGGCCAGCGCCCAGAAGCGGCAGACAGCGCCATCCGCGAGTTGCACAAATGCAGGCAAGCGTGCGCGTTGTGCAAACCAAGAAACACTGCATAGTGGGCCAGAAGACCGGTGGAGGCGGCCAAAACTCTGGACGCGTTTTGAGCTCCAGCGTCGCTAAATGGGACTCGAACCGAACGTGTGACCCCACCAATGGATTGCTCTCCGAACGAGGAATCCATTGGTGGGGTCACACGTTCGGTTCGAGCCCTGTTCAGCGACTTTGCAGCTCAAAACGCGTCCAGAGTTTTGGCCGCCTCCACCGGCCTTCTGGTCCACTGTGCACTGCACCAAACGATATCTAAATCTGCAAAATAATTTTAAAAACTTTTTTTTGACATTTTGAAGCCGGCGTGAGTACGCGGTGACATACAAACATGGACTGGCACTCGGAAGGAAACCGAACCGTTCTAACAGTGCGGCGGCAGCGGCGGCCGCGCAGGGAGTGTGTGTGGCACTGTCTGTCAGGAGAGCGAGCGCGCATGACACATGCAGCGCGGCTCCGTTGTTAAAATGCTCCCACGCGGCGCTGCTGCAGCCGCACTGTGGCTCGCCCCGTCTCTCTCGCACTCGCGGGGCGTGCCGTAGGCGGCCGCAGGGGTGCGAGAGAGACGGGGCGACGGCCTGCTGGCGGCACTCTGCAGGTAATTGAGTCGCGAGTCCGTTTATCCCTCCGCCTCCGCAGAGTAAGTTGTGACGCAAACGTGTGCGTCCCGGAGATAGCCCGGAAGAGAGGGGGGATGGACACTTCAGCGCGCTTCGGCGCCAGGTCCGTCCCCTCCCACGCGCAGTGTATCGACGGACAGCTGAGTGGGGAAAAATTAAAATGCACGGTCGCGCGCGCGCGCCGCGCCATCGGATCGGCGACAAGCCAAGCCAGGCCAAGCCCGCAGTGTTTCTTTAACGAGCTTGTCCTGCTTGCTCCGACTCCGACTGTTTGATGTTAGCGGAGAGTTTCATGCCGTCACGGAGCATTATCGTACAGCGTACGGCGCGCGTGCCAATGACACGCGGAGGGGGACCGGGCGGGGCGGACATGGCAAGAACCAAGAACGGACATGCCAGCACAGGGTGCCGGTCGGGCCGTGCCGTGCCGTGCCGTGCCGTGCCGGGCCTGCAGGGTTTGAGAGGTTTCAACTCCCTCCTCGAGGCCATTAACTCCGAGGCGTCCCGTCCCCTTCCTCCTGCCCCCTTCCCCTTTCCACAGTGCTCCCGCTTGCTCCCGCTCTCCCCCAGCGGGCCTACAACGCGTGTTGTTTTGTTTTTTGGTCCAACGCAGCAAGCATCACCACAGAAGCCAAGCCGAGCCGAGCGCACACGGGGCTGGTGCCGAGCCGAGCCAAGGTGATGAGCGCAGCCGAGCCCCGCGGCGGGGTGGCGCGGCGAGGCCGAGCCGAGCCGGGTGGTGGCAACAAGCAGACGACCGCGCCGCGCCCCGCCATAGCCTCGCCACGCCAGTTGCCATGCAGGCCGGGGCTGGCTGGGGCTGGCTGGGGCTGGGGCCAGCTGTTGGTCCCCAGAGGGTGCGGGGCAGTGCGGGGGCGCCGCCTCACCTCGCGGCTCCAAAGCCCCCGCGCTCTCGGACAAGACCTCCTTCGGGGCGCCCACGTGGTCGGCCTACCTGCCGGGCGCAGCTCGCGAGTACAATGCTCCGGGCCGGCGTGCCCGGCGTGCCTGGAGAGGCGCGCCGTGCCGGCCCGACCCGCCTTGACGTCATCGGCCGACGCGCACCGCGCCGCACCGCGCACGCCGACACACCTCCACGGAGGCCAACAACGAGGCTGTCTTTGGGCCGATCCTGGAAGTACTTCCAGTTCCACGTAAAGCCCGCTTCAAAGGCGCGCGCGTCGTGCCGTGCCGTCCGCGCCGCGGAGGGGTCCGGCAGCCCCTCGGGCAGCCCTCGGGCAGCGCCGCGACGCGCAGACGGACGGACGGACAGACAGACAGACCAGCGGAGGGAGGGGTAGGGGCACGTGTCGTCTGGGATGTGGTCCATGAAGCGGCAGCAGCAGGCCAGAGGACTTACGAGCCAGCCCCGCGCGGGGCGGGGCGGGGCGGGGCGAGGAGGGGCCCACACGCCCCCCGCCACAGCAGCACAGCGGCGCAGGCCCGCCACCCTGGCACGCGCCCAACGCCGCTAGGCCCTCGGCGGGGCGGGCCGGGGCGGCAGGGAGGCCCCCTCCCTCCCAGCTGTCGGAGAGTGCAGAGCACAGGGTGGCCCAGAAGCAACAGCTAGCGGCGCTGAGCAGCGGTAGCATCTTTGCGCCAGAACGTCCCTCCCCTTCCCCTCCCCTTCACGTCACGGCTGGTCTTGGGGACCGACAACCCCACCGCGGCAGCGCGGCGCCGCGGCCCCGGGGATGACAACGCGCAGCACGACGGCGACGTGCTCGAACAGTGTCGAAGACGGCGAGGCTGGCGGCCGTCGATTCCGAGCGGCGATTCGTCGTCCGTCTCTCTCGCACCCCCGTGGCACGACGCACGCCGCACGACGCACGCCGCACGACGCACGCCGCACGACGCACGCCGCTCGGGCGCGACAGAGACGGCGCACCAAAGTTCGGCGTCGACCCGCAGACGGAGTTGGCGGTAATTGCAGCGCGGCGCGGCGCGGCCCGGTAGACGCGCCGATGCGTCTGGCGCCGGATTTGCGTTTGACGCCGCAATTGGCGCGGCCAATATAGACTCACCTCTGTCAGACGGAGGCGGCGACCACCTTTCTCTCCATGGCGGCGCCGGTCTTGTTGTTGTTGTTGTTGCTGTCGTGACGACGCGGCGCACTCTGCCCAAAAGAGGAAGGAAAACACAACGAAATGAAACAAAAATAAAAATAAATGGCTGGATGTGGGCGTGTCTCCCTGCCGCGGCATTGTCACTTCATTAGAAGCCACGGGGAGGCCGGAAACGCAGCGGAGCACCCCGCCGTACTTCCGCCACGGCCCCCGAGCGTCGCAGCGTCGCGCACTCCATCATACACCCCGTGTTTGTTGTTGTTGTTGCTGGCGGTGTTCCCGTCAAGCGCGGCGTCGTCGCTACCCCTGTCGCGCCCCTGTCCCCCTGGTGGTGGTGACGCAACGCGGCGATACCCCGCGCGTTCGCTTTCGCACGCAGGCGCCGGGTCGCCAGGGCACAGTGGGCCAGAAGACCGGTGGATGCGGACAAAACTCCAGACGCGTTTTGAGCTCCAGAGTCGCTAGATGGGACTCGAACGGAACGTGTGACCCCATCAATGGATTGCTCTCGGAACGAGGAATCCCATTGGTGGGGTCACACGTTCGGATCGAGTCCTGTTTAGCAACTCTGGATCTCAACGCGTCTGGAGTTTTGTCCGCATCCACCGGTCTTCTGGCCCACTGTGCAGGGGACGGGGCGACAGGACAGGACAAGGCGGGAAGCGGAACCTCAAGCAGCCGCCGCAGGGAGGCGCCCTGGCCTGGCCGGGCCGCCCCACCCCGCCCTGCGATGTGCGATTCAATCCAGCGCACCAAACCACAAACCCCCTCGACAGCTGTCACGTGTCTTTCCGAGCGGCCCGCCTGAAAAAGCACGCGAGGAGCGACACGCCACGGCGAGCCACGTCCTGGCGGAGCGTGGAGCGGGTCATTGCCGCACCGCGTGCCTCGCCGCCCAGCGCCGCCCAGCGCCCCGCCCGGGTCAAGGGCTGCTCCGGCTTGCTTGCTTCCCCGATACCATCGGCACCTCCACGGACCCCGCGTCGCTCGAGCGTCACTCAGCCCCGCCCGCGCCCAGGACATCAATGATCCGATCCGTGGCTTGGCGGTGCGCGCCCTGCCTGCCACGCCGGGGCGGACAAAATCAATAACAGACTCCACGCCGCTTATTAAAATGCAGATAGGCGCGGGGGTCGGAACCGTCGGCACGCCGGCGGGGGCCCACAGTGGGCCAGAAGACCGGCACCAGTGGCCGAAACTCTAGACGCGTTTAGAGGTCCAGAGTCGCTAAACCAGAGATCCTTAACTTACCTCATAAGGGCATCATAACGTTATCGTAAGAGTTAAAGTTATTACCTTTAACTTCTGACATCTTTTCAAAAAGGTTAAGTTATTTTTTTGTGTTTCGAATTTGTGCAGAGATACTTTTAGAAGTACTTCCGAAAGTCCGCACCCTTAACCTTTAGCGAACATTGTCTTATGTTACGTTATGAAAGCAGTGTTAGTTACATGTTAAGTTAAGTTAAGGATCCCTGCGCTAAACAGGACTGGAATCGAACGTGCGACCCCACCAATGGATTCCCCGTTCGAAGAGCAATCAAGTGGTCGGGTCACACGTTCGGTTCGAGTCCCATGTATCGACTCTGCAGCTCAAAACGCGTCCACCGCCTCCTCCACTGTGCGGCGGGGGCGGGCAGGGCAACGGCCCCTTGGATAGTGGACCCGGGTTTCTCTACGTATCGCCAGCCGAAGACTGAGGTCCATCCCTATCCCCGGAAGATTTGCATCAACTCGTGCGAAGTTGAAAGGTTTTTAAGACTGTGCGCTGCCCAATGCGCCGCGAACCGGTCTCAAATTTAGTGTGGACTAAGTCTTACGTGTCACTTAAAACTTTGTGGCCGGGCACTAACCATTATTTTCAGCGTGACACTAACAAGCTACTGCTAGAACACGGCTGTGGGTTTGTTGCTGACGCGTTAACACGCTGCGATCTGTTTCAGCTGGGATGTTACCGGGGGAAGTCCCAGAGAGCTCGGGGAAATGCGTCCGAAACGTGCCTCCGTGTACCGGTAGAACCTCACAATTTCAATTTCCCTGTCGTTCACTTTCAAACGTCCGCTTGGCTGTGGCTTTGGTCGACTCTTCCCGCTTCCAGCAGGCTGATTCCGAGAGTAATTTTCGTCGCTCTTGTCTCTTTCGTACTCGAGGGGCGCTCCGTAAAGGTGCGAGAGAGACAGAGCGACGAAAACGACTCTCGGAATCAGTCTGCAGATGCAGAGCCTTCCTCGGCTTGTCGTGAGTGCGGGTGTCGGAGTGTGCGTGTGATTGCCGGCTCACGACGCCGCAGCGCGAGGCACGCCGCCGGCACGGCTCTAAAACCGAATGGCTGCACGGCGCGCCGCAGCGTAACCCGGACGCGGGCGCCCCGCTTACGGACGGCCCTCGCGGCTCCACCTTGAACTCACTGCCGTGTTCACATGGAAGTGACGTACGCCGGAGCACAGCACGGCAGCCTACGGCGGCACGGCGGGTAGCGGCGCAGGCGGGCGCTGCGGTGGTGCCGACCCTAACCTCATCGACCGAACCAACCCGCACCCCAGCAGGTCTGCGAGGCTCGACGCGGGACCACGCCGCCGCCCCCGGCCCTACAGTTCTCTATCTAAACAAGGGAAGGTCGCTTCATTTACAATTTAAAGCGGCCCATTCACGGGCGCCTAACCTAACCTGCGCCAAAGCGCGTGACCCCGCGTGACCCGGGGGTGTGAAAAAGCCAATGCCGCGTGACCGGGCGCACACGTTAAAGCAGCGCCCAGACGGCGCCTACCCGTGTCGATGGCGCCGCGGGTGCCGTTCAACCCGCAGCAACCCCCGGGGCCAGTCGGCTGGCGTGACTCCGTGCCGTAGTTTCCATATCAGCCCCGCGGATTAGATTAACCCTTTCAAACTCTCTCGAGTGCAGTGGCGCAGCGTGCGCACTCCGGCATTCCCTCGCCTTTTTTTCCCTCCAGCGTGATGCCTCCCCGATCAAAAATTCACCGGCCGAAGCGGCGCCCCGGCGCGGAGTATCGCCAGCGCCGCTCGCGCTGCTGCCTGGCGGCGCGGGGTAGCGCCGACCAGCTGGGCCGACTTCCCTCCCCCTTCCCTCCCCTGGCGCGTGCCGCGTGCCGCGGTCGTGGGTATCGACGCGGCATCGAACGAGTATCGATCGAGTGTGATTGAATGCTCCCCGGACACGATTTTAGATTGATTCGGTCCCCAGTCACGCGCGTGACGACGATGATGATGCAAGGGTGTTGAGGAAGGGAAGGTTAATAAAGCAGGGCGAAGTAAGCAAACAGGCGATTTGTTTTATTCAGGCACCACAAAACAAGCACATTGCCCCTCACAAAGGCAGAGGCATTGCCCATACATGCACAGGCAGCGCGGCGGCGCAGAGAGAGAGAGAGGCCGCAATCGGCTCCCAATCTCGCCTCCCCGACAAGACAGTCAAGACACATGCAGCTGAAAAAGAAAGAACGAGTCACACAGACACACGCAACGCGCGCAACCCCCCAGGCCGGGCAGGCCGTCCAGGCCCACACAAAGGCCCGCGGGCCCGCAGCAGCATCCCTGCAAACGAAATCGAGGCGAAGCAGAGGGCAGACACGAAGCGGAGGAGGCGCGCATTCGGCCAACGGGCTCATTCCGAGTGGCAGGTCTCTCTCTCCTCTCTCTCTGCACCCTCGAGAGAGGCAGACAGCCCGACGGGAGCCCCGCTCGGAACCAGCCTGCTGGCCGCAGGGGCCGCAAGCCACACGTCGGCGAGGAGACGACTCGACGTGAGAATGGGACCGTCGGGGGAACGCTATCGCATCGCCGGACCGGCGCGGCAGAGCCAAATGAAAAAACTTTCAAGACAGGAAGTACATTCTGGCGAGCCTAACTGACGACGCCTTGAAATCACTGCAGGCCAGGCAGATTGGCTCAATAGGCCCATGGCAGTCCATGCTCCACGGCCCCGCGTCGCCCCGCGCAACTCCTCGTCGTGCCACTTATCAACTTAGCCCACCCCGCTCGCCCTGCGGCCTCATTCCGAACGCAGCTTCGTCGCCCTGTCTCTCTCGCCAGCCGGCAGGACGAACCGTGAGTGCGAGAGTGACAGAGAGGCGAGAGCACCGCTCGGAATCTGCCTGCTTCCGAGCGGCCACGTGACTTGCTCCTATTGGCACGGGGTATCGCCGCACGCCGCTGGCAGCGCCACACTCCATTCAAAATTTGAAAAACACATGCAATCGTGGTGGAAATTAACTTAACACAAAAGGTAAAACAAAAAATTAAAAAAAAATGTTTACAGATTGTGAGTACATTCCTTCAAAACTTCTCGGTTTTTCTTTTCCCTGTCTTTTTTATTTTAGCGTGCATGTCACCAATTTCAGCTATTGGAAAGAATTTTCACAAAACTAAAAATGTAGGACAGAAAATCAGGTTACATAATTAGGGTAGCATGTTAAAATCTTATTAAAATATGTTAGGTATGAAATTGTCAAGCTCAGGCAGCAATCACATTCCACACAGGTCAATTGTGTGTAAAACATAGCATCCAGACAAGCAAGCAAGCACTAAATAATCCAATTGCAAACCTTGATGTAAAAAAAAAATCATGAAATGAGACCCTTTAGAGGAAAATAAGCTCACATCACATTTTTTCACATTCAAACAGTGTTAGGCGTCAGATTTTGAGTCACACACACATAAACCAATTCCAGAACAGTTAGTTTGAATGCATATATTTAGGGACAACACTTGTCGCAGCACAATCACCATTTCATCTCACCAAATAGGATGTAATCTTCTTCGAACGAACTTCCTAAGATGAAACACCTAAGCACTGCTGCAGTTCTGCGGTCATCAAGCTATCCTACGAAACAAGAGAAAACACATTTTAATGTAAATGATCAAGAGAGTTAGGCCCAAAATTGCACATGACATTACTATGACTAAGATCAGGCAATCTGAATGAGTAAGTTATGGCTAGATCTAGAAACAATACAGATGTCTAATAATATTTAACAAATCTTTGATTTTTAAAGGAAAAACAATAATATATACAATGTCTATAAGACACACGAAAAATCAACTGTCACAAGACTACAGTAGCACAAGCAGTGGCAGGACACAGCACAGTAAACAGGCAAACTTTTGAGAATTGAGACTAATAGAAATAAGGAGACAAAAATTATTTCGATAAATAGCACTACAATCGACTCTGCCGAAAATCATCAACAAAGGTGAACTGCAAATTAAAGATATCTTAGGTTATGTAAGATAATTATCAACAAGACAGGTTAGGTATGCAGCCTCCAGAACGGCTAAGGTCAAGAGCGAACCCGGAATATAACAAATTTCAACTTCATCAGAAACTATCACTTAGTAATGACAGCCCAAAGAAAATCCGGAACTTCGCTGTCTATATGAGACTGTACTAGGAGGTACAAGGAGTACAGTGGAAAATTTACTTCTTTTCCGGTAAAGTAAGATGTCAACAGAAGCATGTACATTAGGAGATTCCTATCACGCTCACGTTTGGAGCCAAACACTGAAAGTTACGACAGCTTACTGGAGCAGCAGACGCAACTTACACTTACAGTGAAAATGATAGAGCAAACTAAGTCTTTGAACAGACTTAAATTCTCTAATTAAGGCCAGTAAATAACTGAGACCGCCAGCTTGCAGCCTGCTACAAGGGCACTTCCTCTGACGTCATACAGTGGATAACCGCCGCAAATTAAATACGAAAAGTACGCCTGCGAAGTGCCGAGCACGCAGCAAGCTTAACGTAAGAAAAAGTTGCCAAATAGGACCGGGCGGCTGCTCCACCAAAATAAAAACAAACCTCTCAAAGCTGTAAAGAAGTTTCCCGACAATGGTGCGTCGACTGTGTTTACGTCTGTTTGATGATGTCACAGTGACATCACGACCAATCTGAATGACCTTGGTCAACGTGCAACTAATCGATTCCTTCGATTACCTCTCAGTAACTCGGGCACGCGCTCAACGCTCAAACCTCACCTCAAATTGAAATTTAGAAATCCGTCGAGAAAACCGGCGAGCCGAGACGAACGCCCGCAACGCGACGCGACGCGGCGAAACCTGTTGATTTGTACAGTCGCGCGATCCAACCGGCGCAAACCGCCAGCGGCCAGACAGACGCGCGCGCGAGTTGGCTTGGCACACCACTTTCAGTGAAATATCGGAAATTTAAGATTCAAGATTGATTAAAGCATGCCGTTGGCATGTTGTAAACAGAGTGAGAGTAGGGGATAAGAAAACCATGTCACTAAAAAAGAAGGTTTATTTACTTCTTCATAAACTTATAAATACAAATTTTCCGCCTCTAGCATCACCGGGTTTGATAGTTGCGTTCAGAACTGAAGAGTAATCAATGATGACAAACTGAAAGTTTAGACAATAGGCCTTGCCTCATTCAGCTAATCCCAATTTTGTGCAGCACAATTTTTAAGACACAGCCAGAAGCAGCTACGCGAGTTTTATAACATTGATTTCTGAGAATTAAAACGTTGAGTAACACAGATAATAACAGACTGATTTTAAATTCCTTACTGGATATGAACACTCCAAGGATGTCAAATGCAAGTTCACACTGTTGCCGTTACACAAATCTCCACACAACAATGCTCGGCCCATCAAAATTTTATTACTGCTGTTTGCAGTCTCCTTGAGGATTCTGGCCCTGCAACAAGGCCTTCTTCACAGCCTGGTTGGCATTGGGGTTGTAATCCTCATCTTCATCCTCCTCCTCTTCGTCCTCTTCTTCACTGTCATCTTCCTCATAATCTTCCTCCGCTTCCAGTGCCTCACCTGAAAAAAAAACTTTTGTAAGTAAATGACTCGCAGTATAGAATAATACAAAATAAATTACAATGCATACCAGTGAAGTAGAGAACCGCTCTTGGGACAATACGCTCTCTAATGTAGTGACCAATCTCGAAGTCTGAGGTAAGTAGTGTCTGGGTATCATCATCCAACTCAGCCTCAGGATCATCAGACACTTCAGAAAAAAAAAAAAAAAAAAGGAATTAAAATGGTTACTGACACTGGTACACCACAAGATTCTTAGTAAAAATTGCAGCAAAATTGTGACAAGTAAAAAAATGGGAGATACTTACGCATTGGTGGGTTGAAGAAATTAAAGAATGAATCATTCTGGACAGACAGTTGAACTGTCCTTATTGAACCACGAGACTTATGCTTTTGCTTCTTTTTGATAGTCTTGACTGTTACATTTTTACCCTTATACCAGTCAATAATGCAGCCCTGACAAAGAAAAATTGGTTGTAGGTACAAACTAGAAAACAAACACTCAAAACAATACTTCTTACAACTACTGTATTTAACAATACCTTGCACTTGTAGATCTCTGGTCCTTCAAATGAGAAGGGATCAGTTTCATCAGGTGTGCACTTCATCTCATACTCCTTGGAAAGAACTGAGTTGGAGAAGTACTCATTGGGAGAGAAGTGGAACTCAAGGACAAATCCCATGGGGTTTTTATCCAAAAGAATGACCTGAATTGAGAAGGCAATTGAACAGTCTGGTAGACAGTTACCCTAGAGAAGCTACATCAAGGTGGGCCTTCAAAAAGGATCTTACCTGAATGTCAATCAGATGTTTCAAAATAGGCTCATCATGCTCTTCTACCATTTCTGATAACAGGGCAACATTTTTGAAAATTGTGAGCCAGAACTCTGGAATGCCTGAGATATCCTTATTCTTATTATTTCTACAAGACAAAAGAAAGAAAAAAACCCTGATAAACCAAAAAAAGCACTTAAGTATGGTACAGAGAAACAAAATGGTTGACTGCTTACTCTGCTTCTTCTTTAGCCTTCTGATCCTTAGGTGGTAAGAGGTCCTCAATTTTTACTTTGGCCTTGATCTCTGCACACAACTCATCATCTTTCTCATCATCTGACATGCCTGCAATCTCTTCATCAGTGGGCTCATGCAAACCGCAAATGACATTGGCACGCTGTAAAAATACTGACATGAGCAAGGACATAACTTACATAGCACTGAAAAATCTGAAAAAGACCCACCTTAGTGTACAGAGGTTGATAGAGTTTGTGGTATTTGCACTCCAAAGCGTGAACTTCTTCATAAAATTTAGATTCAATGTTTGTAGTTTCCAACTGAAGTTTCTTGAGTGCCTTGATGCGCCGTTTGACTTGGGGTGGCATAGACTGCAAGGTAAGGAAGATTTAGTGGAGGAACTGCAGAAAACCAACTATGGAAAACCAAAAGAAACTTACGTTCAGCATCTCCTGTCGCAACTGGCCTTGGATGGCAGCAAGAACGTCGGCTTGACGAAGAACTTGGCGTGTGATGTCATTGGTCTCAGCGTTTTCATCTTCAACATCTTCTACAGATTCAAGGTCGTCGTTGCTGGCATCCGCTGCGCGCTCCGGATCAGAAGACATGATTGTGTGAGGACCTGCAAAAGAGAGAATGACATGTTGATTGACAAGTCAATGGATGAGTCAGAACCCAAAGCCGAAAATCAAAGTCGAAGAACCGGCAAATTTCTTGAGACGAAAGGAGACGAAACGGGCAATGGACCTGACTAGCCAAGGAGTGACGGAGTGGCAAAAATGTTCGAGATAACTTTGGCGCCGAAACAACCGACAGACAAAGAGCAGCTTGAGGCGCAGTTCGAGTTCAAACCGCGTCCAGATGTCAAACAAAGAGACGGCTGCTCCCGAAAAGGGATTCCGACCAAGCCCGGCCCTCCGGCACAACCCCCACGGCAACTCGCACCGTCCCGACCACCCTTAATTTTCGTACGAGCCCCACTCAGAAACAGCCCCGCTCGCGCCCAGCTCAGCGGCATGGGCCTAGGCGCTGCGCACATGGGGGGCGCCGCACCACGAGTCGCTGGGCCTTTTCCTCGCCACTGCAAACCATTGGCAGCCGTCAGCACACGTTAATTTCAAAGGGGAGCCCTTCGGGGATCGCGCGACACAAACCACTTGCAATAACAACGCCTTTAAATCAAAACGGGCCGTCAAAAGACGAAAGACGTACCTTCAGATGCGGAGGGTGCACTGAGAAAAGATGGAGGGTCGGATACGTTCGCGGCCGCGGTTGAGTTCCAGTTCGTGTGTGTACCTTTTCCCCCCACCACCTCTCTTTTTCTCGGTACTCACCCCCGCCCCCCGCTCCCCGCAATTTTTATTTCATCTTGGATGAGTCTTGTTTACAATCTGTGGTGGTCAACCATTTTAAAAAATGTAAAAGCAAGTGTTAAAAATAGATGTACTTTTTTAAAGTACTGTATAGGGCAAAAACTGAGTGATAAAGGAACTGACCTTAGCTGACCATTGATCATCCAAGAATTGAAAGGAACATACTTCCAAACAAACAGTTGCCGGTCGAAAACCCCATGCAGAAAGAAAGGACAGCCACAAACCTCACGGAACCGGCATTTTGTTGTTGTAGTTAGTTTATTTGTGGCAAATTCTTCGTGTTAAGCACCTTTACACCAGAGGGCTTCTGTCGGCCTTCTCGCAGCAAAATGCCCGAGCTTGAGGTCGCTGGTGAGTTTACCTAGTAACGTAGTCTCACATTTTATCGAGAGTTATGTCCTCCTATAACAGTCCGCGACTACGGTCAATATCTGAGCTTTTTCCCTCGTTGTTCTCACAGAGTCAGCTCCTGCAGCGTACGATGCTGGGTATGTTGGAGCAGACCCTACACAGCCGGTACAGAGGAAAGGAATTTTGACATCACTCAGCGGCAAGTCTATGGAAATTCCCGAGAAAGACCTGGTAAGTCAGGGGTATGCTTGCCCAGCCCCAGCGTTGTTGTGCGTTTGACTTTCGATTTCAGTGTTCACTTTTCCTGTTTTCAGTCTAAGTCATTACTTTCTGAGCCTTTTTAACTTATTTTCTCTTTTCAGCTTGGACGATGTAGATTTGTCACAGAGTTTGAGAAGTTGAATCGTATTGGGGAAGGAACTTACGGTGTTGTTTGTAAGTTGATGCTATTGCTTGACTGCATTATATTAATGTGCCCAAGCTGCCATTGAGTTCAAAAATTTGCTTTTCCAGATCGTGCTCGTGACACTGTAAATGATAGAGTAGTGGCTCTCAAAAAGGTGCGAATGGAACAGGAGAAAGATGGACTTCCTGTCAGCAGTGTGCGAGAGATTTCTGTTCTGTTAACATGCCAACACGATAATGTTGTGCGATTGAAAGAAGTTGTGGTTGGGAAAAGTTTGGAAAGGTACAACCGACAGTTCCAAAGAGTTTCCCACAGTTAAAAATGATATCAAAACTAAGAACAATATTAATTATTATTCTACGAGAAACTTATTTTTTGTTTTGTTTCTGCAGCATATTCCTAGTGATGGAGTATTGTGAGCAAGATCTGGCTAGTCTGTTGGATCATATGCAGACTCCATTTTCTGAATCACAAGTCAAGTGTATAATGATTCAAGTTTTCCGTGGCCTGCAGTATTTGCACAATAATTTCATTGTGCATCGAGATCTTAAAGTTTCTAATCTGCTCATGACTGACAAAGGATGTGTCAAGATCGGTAAGTTATAGTCTGAAGTCTTATTGCTCTTATCTCAATCAAATTCTTAATTGGTCCATGCTCTTTTTTTCTCCCACAGCTGACTTTGGCCTAGCTAGATGGTACAGTGTACCTCATGGTGAGATGACTCAGAAAGTAGTAACTCTGTGGTACAGGGCACCAGAAATTCTGCTCCAGGCACCTTATCAAACAACTGCAGTTGATATTTGGGCAGCTGGGTGCATCACTGGAGAACTCCTAGGTCAGAGGGACCACATGTACTTACTTTTAATGACCACTTTATGAAATATTCGTGTAAATCTAACATTCCATTATCTTTTGCAGGTCACAGACCTCTTCTGCCTGGTCGGTCAGAAATTGGGCAGCTGGAGCTGATTGTTGATCTGTTGGGAACCCCATCTGATACTATTTGGCCTGAATTTTCATCTTTGCCAGCTGTTCAGAATTTCACACTTCGCCAGCAACCTTACAATAACCTAAAGCAGAGGTTCCCATGGTTGTCATCCAGTGGCTTGCGCCTCCTAAATTTCTTGCTCATGTACGACCCCAAGAAGAGGGCAACAGCTGAAGAGTGCCTAGAAAGCTCTTACTTTAAGGAGGCTCCTTTACGTAAGTTTTTTGTCAGTTCAGTAAGGAGTGCAGGGAGTCCCTACAGCTGTTTCATCTGTGTTCTATTTTTGTTGCAGCTTGTGAGCCGAAAATGATGCCAACATTCCCTCAACATCGAAACCTGAAACACAAGGCACTGCCCCCCAATTCCAATGAGGAGCCGGCATCGTCACTAACCAACAACTTGCCTATCTCTGACCTTGTACGTTAACATTTTACAGATAACTGCTTAGTTTATTGTTAGTCCTCATAATTCACCACTGCATCATATTTTTTCTGCTTTAGCTTGGATCTTTGGTGAAGAAACGCAAGGTCGAATGATATTCACCAAGGGCAGCTTTCCCAGATGGCAGCCACACTGCTGATGAAAACGGGAAGGATCTGCCGACTCTGTCCAAAGTCAGGCAACTAGATGAAGAAATCATCCTGATGATTGGAGTCGAAGATGGTGAGGCCGTCAGCGAAAAAGAAGATGGTGAATTAAGCAGCAGCGAAGATGAGCTCCTCGATTAGTCTTCGATGTGCTTAAAATACTTCTTCTTGTGTGTGCAGTTTTATGGGAAAACTTTTAATCTTTTGTATATTTTGAGACAGTTTCAATAATGTTTTTCATTTATATTGGCAATGAATTATTGTACAGTTGGTTGGCTTTGTGTACTATGACTCAATTGATACTCCTTGCTTCTGTTTTAAAAATGAAAATGTAAGGTGGAAACCAAACATCAACTGTTAAATGATTGTCAGACAAGCCGATACAATTCAAAGTGCCGAGCATCAATCTATTTGTTTATGTCTTAGTTAGTATCAAATAGTGTTTTGAATGAACCAAAGGCAAATGGTTGTCTTCAATTGGTTTTAATGTCAGAACCAAATTTTCATTAGATAATTATTTTAATTTTGAACTTCTGAATCATGTATTTTTGGCTTGGTCAAAAGTCAATTTTCTATCATCAATGTTTTTGTTTTTCATGTAGTTAAATTAACTACACTTTGTAATGGTGGATGGCAATGATATGACCGAAGTCCAGTTTTAATTTGTAATGATACTATGTAAGAATGTGTCGGAATGAAGTTAGTAACGAATCCTGGCTAAGATTAACATTACGTTTGTTTTAAGTATCCTTTCTGTTTCCTATTGTCAGGCTTACTCATTGTGCAAACTCTTGTTCATTTCAAGTTTCTGAGAGACATAGCTGATTGATTTCTTCTTGAGTCTTACTACTTTGCCTATGATGTGAATTCATTCAACTCAAATATTTTATTTCTCCAAATAAATATGCATCTGTGTTAATTTGTGTCTTATTTTCATGAAGTTGCTCTATAGTTGGACCCAAGATGGAACAAATAATCTTGAACACTTTGGATGATTTTCTCTTTCTTTTTAAATAAACTTTTATTGAACATGGGAAATACGACAACTAAACAAAGGGATGGTAGAAATTTTCTTTTTATTCTTAAAGATATGGGCGCTCCCTGGGTGTCTTCTTAGCTTTCTTCTTTTGCAATCGTGGGAACCATCGGTGCTTGGTAGTACTTGTCATTTTCATCAATTCTTCCCGAGCTAATTCTTCTTTCATGCCCTCCAAATGTGAAACATCTCTGAAGCCTTTGTTCAATTCCTTAAGAAGAGCTGTTTGTTGGGCTTCTTCAGGAATGGGCAGTGTATGTTCATAGGGGAATTCTGGCTCAGGGTGCCAGCAAACTAGTGTTCGCCCATCATCGGCAAAAACGACCTAAGCGAATAGGGCACAAAAGTCATTAACACTTGAAAAGTTTGATTCGATTCAAAGAACAAGACAAACGGTGGACTCACCTGTGTCGCTGGTGATTTCGATGAGAATGATTGAGCCAGGGGTAACGAGGGGTTGTAGTTCATTAGACCATAACCTCTTCTCGCCAACGACAATACAGTAGACTTGCCGAACATGATGTCTGATGGGATGGAAAACGACTCAGTTAGAGGACAACGACGTCAATTTTTTCTAAGATGATACAAAAGGACGTTCAGCCTTGAAGGAAGAGTACTGTAGTTTCAACCGAGCAACAACAGACGCTTTACCGAGGCGAGCAGACGCCGTTCGCTATTTGCAGGAACACGAGGGACTGTGCCTACTATTCGCAGTCATATTCACTTCGCGTGCTTCGCGCGAGTATTTCGTACGAATAGCGTCAAGCATTGTTTCCGGCAGTCGGCTGTGTTTACGTCCTGAAGGGACAAATTATTTCAAAGTTTCAGTAATAAGTACAAAATTATGCCGGGAGCAAGTTACTTTCTCAGCAAGGTATTTGAATTTCTTGTGCTTCTCATGGTTCTTCATTTTTCAATTTTTACGGGACTGACTAAGGAGTTCAAAACTGATTAGCCAGTGTGGTGATCTTCATCTGCAGCCAACCCGATCCACTCTAACCTCCGACTTGTTTTATTTGTTCTTCTTTTCCGAAGGCTTAGTTGATTTTTCTTCATCCGTACTCTCTTTCAAAAGTTTGTAGATGCACTGTTTTGTCGTTCTAAGGACATTTTTCATTCATGGTCCCTCTGGTTCCACATCCACTAGTGAGGTTATGCTTTTCACAGGCACCAACAAATCAAGACTCATGAACTTTTCTGTACTATAAGCTTTCCTGTAACTTCCCCTCTCACTTTAAATACTAATTTTTCTTTCACCTGTACTCAGTTTTCTTCTTAAGTTTCGTCTTGTGGGGATGGAATTGTTTGCGTCTTTGCTGAGTGTGTAGGCCAGTAGGCATAAGTTTTTTCATCATTGAAATGGTGTCTGCAAAATATCTTCTGATGAATATTTTAACATTATTTTATGGTTTCTCTTCTTTACAGTTAGCTACACAGATTCCTGGTCCTCTTGTGGGGTCTACTGTTGTGAAGAACCAGCCTCCTCCATGCTTGGAACTGGTTCCAGTATCGCCAGTGAAAACAGTCACAAATGATTCATCTCTAACCATCCCGTACAGTGACTGTCGAGATGTTGTGTGTGTCCCTCCAAAAGATCCTGAAGGTTATATTTCATTCTTACAGTTCATTTTCTTAAGTATTCCAATCAGTAAGGCTTTGTAATTCTCTGTGGACCTGTTCTTCTGTCATTTTGATGTTTGTCTATTTTTGTTTTCAGTTTATGAGAATGTTTACTGCAGACCAATGGTCAGGCAATACATGCCCTCTGGAAACAGAGCGTCAATTTTTGCAACTTTACCCATTAGGTAAAATCACAATACTGTATTTGTCCCTTTTTTTGTTTTGTGTCGATTATTAATGCATTGAGTCTTAATGTATACCTGAAGAAGAACAATTGTTACTGAAATATATTTTTGCTCTTCAGCATGAAAGGCCTAGATGAAAATCCTGTCGGGGAACTGCAAGAATTGTGTACTAAAATGCGATGGGTGTTCCCATCATATACCGTTTGCTGTGAAAATGGACAGCCTCATGAACGAACATTTGTCATTGGAGTGCGGCTGTACAATGTTAGAGATAAAGGTAAAGTATTCTTTACTGTTTTTTTTTTTTTTTTTAAATTTTGTTTTCCTTACCCCAATATTGATTAATTATGTTCAGGTGAAGCTAAATCAAAGAAGGCTGCAAAGCGGGAAGCAGCTCGAAATCTGTTATTTCAGCTCCTGGAGAGGTCAGCAGGCCAGCGGCATGCTAATCTTGCTCCCAGTGCTGCTGTTGAATACAGGCCTACTTCAGAGGCCTCTATAAAGCATCCTGTAAGTCTACAGTATATCAACTTGTGTACATGGTTTCAACCTTCTAGCCTGACTTTTTTTTATTATCATGTAGGAATCTCTGCAGCTTCAGCCATATCAAGAGCTCCCACCACATTCAAAATGCATTGACATGCTGCAAGAACTTGCAAGTAGACGTAACTTGCGCGTTGTCTATATTCGCCTGGACTCAAAAACATCCACAGGTACTTAGTGAACATTGTTGTCTGTTTCTTGTTCAGATACTCAAACCGCAATTATGACCCAATTCAATGATTTACAGGCCTAATTCAGGTGATGCTACAAATTTCAACATCTCCTGTGATTGTGGTAAGTGGTCAAGGCCGAACCTTATTGGAAGCCAAAGCTGAAGCAGCTCTCAATGCATTGGAATGTATACGCATTACAGCCAAAAAGATGACTTTTCAATCCATGAATCTACCTCTTTAAGTAACAAGAAAATGTTCAATTTTGCACTAGTCAAACCATACACAGTGGCTGAGTGCACTCATCTGTCATTGTTATGTGAAGTGTGCAACAGTTCTAAATCCTGAGTTGGATTTAGAAGTACATTTGTTGCATACTTTTCATTATCCCCCACTTTTTTGGTTAAGTTATCAACATTATTAAATATTTTGTTGACTATTAGAAAAAAATTTATCAACATTAAATTAAGTACGTATTTCTTTTTCTCTGAGTCCTTTTAACAACTCTATAATCATCTTTTGCATTGTACAACTGAGACATTGCTTTATAAATGATTTTTATGATATCAGTTTGGTGTAAATCTCAAATTACTGAAAATTTATGTCACTTAGGAATCAGATGTGATCACAAATCAATCAAGGACTTATTTAAAGCTTTTGTTGCCTAAACATGTTTGGGACAGTTCCTCTCCTATTGTAAAAGCTAGAGCCATTTTACATTCTTCCTGGTGAAGAATTGTTGTACATACGTTTTGTAAGCTACAACAACAATAGTGTGATAAAAATATTTGCAAGTATGATTCTGAAGATTTTAATATAGATGTACAACAGTTGTAGGAGAGAAATGTGTTTGAAACCACATTGAATGGCATGTCATTATAACTTAAAATCTTCAGTACATTACTTAATGTACAATTTATTTGTAGTGATGTTGTCTTGAGATTCCCAATTTTTATAGATGATGAGTATGTGTGTTAGACTTTTTCGTTTGATCTCTTTTACCTGGAATATTGTATTAGGGCAAGGTTGAGCGTCAATTAGTGTTTTGCTGTATTGAGAAAAAAACAACTGAAAACAAGTTAGACTGCTGTTCTGGAAGCTTTCATAAACTACAGTGTCTATATTGTTTACCACTACAATACTTGTTAACGTTTAAGTATTTCTTGGTGAGTCAGGACGCAGCTAATTCATGCTGTACTAGTGTCTGACCCAACAACAGACCATGGAGTTTATGAAAGCTTTCCTCTTTTTAGGATGTTATGAAATGTTGTCGTTGCACACTATATTTTTCACCATGTGACTGTATCTCCCCCTCCTCCTCTTTAATCAAGCAAAAATAGGAAAAATGAGTGAGCTTCAAGATGTGATAAATCTGAAGTGACTGTTTCCCTCTGACATTGTGAACAAATCAAATCTGTCGCTTTGGCTTCGTGCGTTGTGTGCTTCATAAAATAAAGGGAACAGTTAATGAATTGTGTTGTCACATATTATTTTTGTAAATTTTTCAAAAGCCCTTCAAGCTTTTACAAAATTTATTATTTCATATGATGTGTTCTTACATTATGCACCGTGCTGTTGAATGAAGATTAATTTTATTATTAACTATGATTTCTGTTCTATTGGAGCAGACACGAACAATCATGTATGCTTTTGGGACCATCGGGATTATGTCACAGCTCAAATTTTGTTTATTCTCTCGACATTGTTCTCCTCCTACTCTTTTCTGAAATATGTTTAGGTGCCTGTGTGTTCCTTTAAATAATGAGATTGGACCAGAATTACCATTTACAATAGGTGCAAGTCCAAGCAATTTTCTGGCTGCTACTTTTCTTTTTTTGTGCCAATGAATCAATCCTCTGTAGTTCCATACAATTTCTCTTTCTAACATTTGAGCTGTGACTAGGTAGTTTGTGGTGGCAATATTTAATTTGTCCTGCTCGCCATTTGATTGTTTGTGGTTTTTCGTTCTTATTCAGCATGGTTATTTTACTTGTTTTTCGTTTTTTTTAAGGATCTTTTTCCTTGTTTTTCAGCAACAGTACTTACTTATATGTATGTTAGATGTGTATTAAGGCGCCTTTAGTGATGTTCCCTTCTTTTTTTTTCTTTCAAGGCTGTGATTGAAGAAGTATGCATGTCCATCTGCCTTAACATGTTACCCTCCTTATTTTGTTAGCTTGCTTGATTTTTAGTAGTGTTTGTGTCTTCCTCATTTCTACTATAAATCAATTCATCGAGTTAACCTGGACATTTGTGTTTTGTGCAATAGAGGTGCTGATTGAAATCTGTGGTGATAAGTGCTTCTATGACACTCTGGCAAAAGTTAACATGATCTGTACCTTATCAATTTAAATTATTTTTTCTTTTGTCTATTTCTCTGAGGAGCATGTACACTTTTGCTGAAGCGCCATCATAATGCACATTGTATTTAGTTTTAATGACTTTGATCCATGTAGCATCTGCTATGTACTGATTTATTACAAATTAAGAAGATATTTCACAGCTGCCTGATAGTGCTCTATTAAAACTGCATCTGTGAATCAAAAGGATCTTTTTATTTTTCCCCTCAGAGCTTATACATGACTTACATCCACAAACTAATAGTATATAGACACAACTTTGTGGAATGGTATGATTGATAACTCAGTTGCATACTGCCTTCTGAAGTCCCACAAGAAATGGTCAATAATTATAGGGTTAATCTGATACAGATGTTCCTTCTTTGCACTGGCGAGCAGTGATTTGACTGCAGCCCACAATAACTCAACAGCATGAATAGAACAACCCCTAATTTCCATTTCCTCTTGACAGCCGACGTCCATAATTACATCTAAAATAAAAAGCATGTTAGTGAAAAATCTGATAGACCACTGCAAGTAACAGTACTCACTTCTTCCTACCTTTTTCCAGCATGCTTTGCAAGTGAGATGAGTACTCCATTACCCCAAAGTGTACCAGGACTTGGGGTACTCTGCAACAATGTTAACACTTAGGTAATCAAAATTCAGCTAAAAGAGCACCCCAAAAACGAAACAAAAACATGGCAGGGAAGTACCTGTAGTCTGCAAACATTGTTATATCATCAATATCAGAGAAAGAACCAAGATCTTTTCCCTTGAAACATGCCCACACATCTCCAATTAGAATTTGAGCTCTTTTGTAGAAGGAAACTAAAGAAAAAGAGATAAAATATGCATGAATGGCATACAAAGGCATGGCACTGAACAGCAATCCTATATAAGACCTCACCCTGTGATTCCTCAAAGGTTCCTACATCTCTGAAGCAAGGAAACTCAGTCACCACCAGATTTAACAACACTTTGGCAGAGCCCTTGGCAGCTTTCACACAGTTCACAAATGAGCCTGAGTTGCAAAAATAAACATCATACCAAATGAACCCTATAAATACACATGGTATCAAAACAGCTCATAATTACCATCATATTTCTCGAGCAAACAAGTGCCAACTTGTCGTAAACATTCTGCTCGCTCTTCCACCAATGCCAACGGGGCACTGTCATCGTCTCCTTGGAGCAGTTCTGTGACATCTTTCGCTGTCAATTGTGAATAGAATTTTGGATCTGTCACAGCTTTTCCATTATCCTGCGCTCCAAACACATGTTATACATCAAATACATCTCCACAATATATTAACTTTCTTTGATGCAAATACCTTGGCTCGATTTAATGCTGCACACAAGGCAAAATATCCAGTATATCGTTTGCCCTTATGAGTAACACTGTAGTGTGCGGAATTTGGTGCCCAAAAGCAAAAATTAAGGGTGTCTACGACAAAAATCCAATCAACGGCGGATGGGTCAGATGAAGGTGGATGTAACTCGTGTTGAGAAAACATATCAATACTGATGGTCTTGTCTTCCAACTTCTCGAATATCTGCAAAACAATCATAAAGCTGCTCAAAACCATGGTAGGACGCGCTTCATCCAGTTCCCAACAAACAATGTGTCAGCAACACGTACCTTGCGAGCCAGGGCTTCTACCCCAGCCTCTTTAATCGACACATGTTTAGCCCGAGTTGCTATGAGCTCTGCAGATTCCCTGGGCAAAAGTGTTTCGGACCCCTTACCACCGGTCATTTTGAAGGATGTAGATGGTCCGCCGGCCGGTAGTCAGGCAAACTGTCACTCTTATCTTCCGTCACTCTCGTGGCTTCAGCTTCCAATCAAGATAAGGAAGGATAGGAAACACGTGGGATGAATGGTCAGATTACCGCCGTGTGCCGCACCGCACACCGCGGGCGTTTCAAAACGAATACAGGTTAGACCGCGACTCGCCAGTGTATCCACGGGGAAATCCACAAACCAAATCGTCGCGGCACCAGAACAGAGAGGTTTCTTTAAGGGTCTAACCTTTCAAAACCGCCGCCACAGCATTAAGCGCTGGCAGCACTGCTCGCCAAGGGTGGCGTCTTAACGGCGCTTAAAAACAATCTCTCTCTCTTTCTCGCACGCGCGCACGCAACGCCACGCACCACGCACGTTTCGAACGCGTCCTTCCCGAATCCGGTCGTGGCGGGGCGAAGGACCTGCGTCGCGCGTTCGGTGCGTTCGGCTGCCGTCGGGAGGTTCGGCTTTCGGCTCCGCGAGCCTGGAAGCGCAGCAGGAGCAGGGTGGGGGTGGAGATGGAGGAGGGACCGGGGAAGGGCGCGGCGGGACGCGGGGCGCGGGGGGTGCGGGGCGGGCGGGGTGCGGGTGCTTTCAGTTGTGTCCTGCAGTCCGGAGGGGTGACTCCGTGTCGCGTCGCGCTCCGCGTCGCCGAAGCCGTCCCGGTCTGGACGTCCGCGCACCGCGCCTCAGCGTGTCACTACTGTCACGTCGCCGCCAAGACCGCTGTCATCGTGGTGACAGGCGTCACCATGCCCGAGGCCCGCGATGACGTCCCGGCCGTCCCGGTGTGGGGGCGGCGGCATGCCCCCGGCCAGCGTGCGCCCGGCAAGCCTAGCCAGCCCGGCCTGTGACGGACGACACAAAGTGCACCGAGAGCCTGGAGTGCCCGGCCATGGCCAACAACAGCAACATCGTGGTGGAGTGGCTGCGGTCGCTGCACCTGGGCCAGTACGCCGAGTCGTTCCTAGACAACGGCTACGATGACCTGGAGATCTGCAAGCAGGTCGGGGACCCCGACCTGGACGCCATCGGCGTGTTCAACCCCTCGCACCGCAGCCGCCTGCTGGGCTCGGTGCGGGCCCTGCGCGAGGAGGGGGCGGCCTCGGTGTACTTCACCCTGGAGGAGGCCATGGGCGCCATGGGGGGCCTGGTGCTGCACGACGAGGCGGAGACGGCCAGCGGGGCGAGCGCCGTGTCCTCCAGGAACTCGTCGGCGACGGGGCGGCCGGCCTCCGAGTCCGACAAGGAGGGCTCCAGCAGGTCCCAGCCCCAGCACCCCGAGCACGGCAGCACGCACGGCAGCACGCACGCCGTCGGGGGCCATGGCCATGCCGGGCACGCGGGCCATGTAGGCCCTCAGGGACACAGCCCTGCGCCCTCCAGCGCCGGCAGTGCCCACGAGCTGGGCAAGTACTTGGACGAGTACGAAGAGGGCAAGGCAGAGCTTGTCCGAATCCCCAGATCCTTGCTGCGGAAACTACTGCGAGAGAAGCTGCTCCAGGATGGCATCCGTCTCAGCCACCAGCCCTACTCCACTTCGGTGAGTTGGTCCAGCATCCAGATCTTCTTGTAGTCTGAATTATTTGAAAGACACGGAGACAGATTCATTAGGTCCATGTTTTGACACATGCTTTGCGAAGGCTAGCATCAATGTATGCAGGCGTCTTAAAAGAAATATACTGAATGCTCTCTGACTACTCAGCTGCTGTAACTTTCTTATCGTGTTTTGGCTCGTGAGTGATAATGTTGCTTCATTGCATCGTCACTTGCTCGCATCACATGCACATTATAAGATTATTGTGCAGTAATAGAACTTAACTGAAGAATTTTAAAAAAATTGTGATGATGATTATTGCAACAAAATCATGTGAAAAGTATGCCTCTCAAAAACATAAAATGCCAAAAATTTCAGTGAGAAATAAAATCTAGATGCAGTCCAAGACCTTGCACACTGTTAGATGTCGATTATCTGTGCTTTTGTGCATAAAAACACGTTTTATAGTGATATGGAATGATTTTTCTGCAATATTTGTAGCTTGTATGTTCCAAGTAAGGCCTAGTCTGAGAGAAAAGCCTTGATAAACACTACCGTGTGTGAGAAAGTTATAGGTTAGGTTGCCCATCCATTCATGTTTTCATTGTTTACTAACATATCTCATTGCTACTCATTGGTTTCTGAGCCGAATAACTTCGTGCTTTGAAAGTTACGATCATTTCCTGTAGACTTTCTGGTCTAATTCACAGAAATAGGTCAATTTTCTTGCGTTTTTGCGAAAACTTCAGGCTGCTTGACAGCTCCATGATGGACAACAGAGTAGGGTGCAGTAGAGTTTCTTCATTCATTTCTGAATTAGATAGGGCTTTATGTTCATTCGTTCGCACTTTCATTCAATTTAATTTAATGAGAGGTTCATTTTTGTTTCTGTCAAAAAACGATTATTTGATTTTTTTTTCTCCTATTTTAGTGTGTTTGTAGATAGGTTATGTCATTCCCAATGTACACATACACACACCAACAATTTTTCAAAGTGATTACTTCTTGGAGAGCAGTTGTGAACTCTTAGTAAACCTAGTATATCTCAACATAAAATCTTAGAGTGAAGAAAAAAGTTCTTTTTGTCTCACTCGAAGCAGCAACAAAGGGGGGATGGAATGTGAGCGATTTCCAGCCGTAACTCAGATTGAAAAATTTTCTGGAGAGTTTGGCTGGTTTGTGTCGTTGATTCCTCATAGAATATATGGTCACTAACTTAAAATTCACAGAAGTAGTAAGAACACCTCTTATAATGGATCAATGGATCAGTCTGTCATTTATTTGTTGGAGGTGGCGTGCTTGCATCTGGTCTCAATCAACAACAATTTTCTGCAAACAACTCTTCACAGTGCATTGTTCCAAACTAGGGAGGGGTTGATAAGAAATGAGACGAAGCCCGTGGCAGAGTGCTCCAATCTGAGGCGCCAGTGGGCCAGAAGACCGGCCAAAACTCTAGACGCGAGCTCCAGAGTCTCCAAATGGGACTCGAACCGAACGTGTGACCCCACCAACGGATTGCTCTCCGAACGAGGAATCCATTGGTGGGGTCACACGTTCGCTTCGAGGCCTGTCTAAAGACTCTGGAGCTCAAAAGGCATCTAGAGTTTTGGCCGCCTCCACCGGTCTTCCGGCCCACTGTGCGCCGGGTGGGATCCGGGTGGCCCCGTGTCATCCCGACCTGTTTTCTGATGGGCCTTTTGTGTCCCACGATCGCCTCCGCCTGTCATGTCGAATTGTTAACCCCGCCCCCTCCCCCTCCCACATCCACACCGTCCCTGGGTCCCTGGGTGGTGTCGCTAGTGTAGTGGTACCCTACCCCTATGCCCGCTCGCACCCGCATCCAGCCCAGCCAGCCCAGCCAGCAGCCCCGCTGCAGGCATGACCGGCCCTGCCAGCACTGCTCGGCTGCTGTGGACTGGGTAATGATATTCATTAAAACGCGCTAGTTTGTGGAGTAAACTCTGTGCGGGCCGGGCGCCCCCTCGCCCCCTCCCCCTCTCCTCAGACCTCCCCGTGAACCCCGTCACCGCCGCCTCGACGCCCCCGCCCCGCCCCGCCCCGCCCCCCCGCCCCGCCCCCCGCCCCGCCCCGCCCCGCCCCGCCCCGCCCGGCCAAAGGGCCAAAGCGTGTACCAGTGTGTCCTGCAGCCCTGGGAAGGGCGAGCGGGACGAGCAGCAGACTGATTCCGAGAGTCGTTTTCGTCGCTCTGTCTCTCTCGCGCCCACACGGGACGCCCCACGAGTGCGAGAGAGACAGAGCGCCGAAAGCGACCCTCGGGACCAGTCCGCAGGGCTGCAGGAACGAGTCAAGCAAATAGCGTGGGAGAAATGGAGGAGGCGAGTGTCCCGGCTCGGGAATCAAATCGCGGCTCATTTTGCAAGTGTCGAGTTGGACTCGGTTCGACCACCGGTCGCGGCGCGTTCATCGGGATGATTCAGGCTGAAGGCGCTTCGTCGCTCTGTCTCTCTCTCGTGCTCGGGGCGCCCCGCGGGGGTGCGAGAGTGACAGAGCGAGTGTCCCTGCCGCTTTGGCGCCAAATTCACAATTTGGCCGCTGCCGAGTTTGGCCGGCGGCTGGGCCCCGGCTTGGCTTGACAAGTCGGGACTAAGGGTGTTCTTAGGGCAGCCGGGCAGCGCGCCCGGAATCGATGGCATTTCGTCCTGCCCACCCTGGGTCCTGGCAGTCCTGGCAGTACTGGCGCCGTCTCTCTCGCACTCGAGGGCCGTGCCGTTGGGGTGCGAGAGAGACAGCGCGACCCAAACACCGTTCGGAATGTGCCGGCCGGGCTTGGCGGCCGGGCCCACCGGGGGCTGGCCGCGCGCCAGCAGCGGGGCGGGGCGGGGCGGGGCGGGGCGGGGCGGGGCGGGCGGGGCGGGGCGGGGCGGGGCGCGCCGACTCCGGGACCGTCCGGGACTCCGGCTTGGCTGCAGCCTGCAGCACGCCCTCCGACGGGCATCGCGCGGCGTGGCGCGGCCGCGGCCAAAGAGCAAATAAAACACTGTGCTGCCTTTCCAGCCGCCCACGCCCCCTCGAAGCCCGCCTCGCCTCCTCCAAGGCCCCCTCGGAGAACGACGGGAAGGGCCTTCCTCTGCCGCCGCAGCCTGCCGCCGAGTTTGAAAGCGGGTGACACACTGGTTGGCCAGCCACCCGCAGCAACCAGACGCGCTGAATTGAGAATGGACGCCAAAGTGAGGGGCCACACCCTGACACCCCCACACCCTGACACCCCCACACCCTGACACCCCCACACCCCGACACCCCCACACCCTGACACCCCCACACCCTGACACCCCCACACCCTGACACCCCCACACCCTGACACCCCCACACCCGGACACCCCCACACCCTGACACCTGCCCCGCCGAGCGTTAGCCAATCCAAAACGGCGCCCCGGTTTCGAGTCGGGGTCAGCGTGTTCGACGGCAGCCAATCAGGATTTAAAATTCGCGATCGCGAAACGGCGGCGTTGGTTGGCGGCCGGCACGTCTGCAGTAGGGCCCCGAGGCTGCGCGCCGCGAGAGAGAGAGGGAGAGAGAGAGAGAGAGAGAGAGAGAGAGAGAGAGAGAGAGAGAGAGAGAGAGAGCGACCCGACCGCTTTTTAGGGCGTTATTCTCCACGCCTCTCGCGCTCGGCTCCGTTCAAACGCCCCTCGCTTCTCGCTTCGCGATCCTCGCTCCTCGCGCGGCGCTTGGCGGCGTACTTTTATAGCTTCCTTGGTGCGGGCCCTGCGGCCCTGTGGGCTCTAACCCCGCGGACTCTGCCCCGCGGGGCGTGCGTTCGAACCAGAGGGCGCGATAAGGACAAGGATGGAGCATGTTCCTCGGGGAAGGGAGGGAGGGAGAGAGAGAGAGAGAGAGAGAGAGAGAGAGAGAGAGAGAGAGAGAGAAGAGTCAAAGGGCTGGGCGGTATTTTGGACGGGAATTGCGTGGGAGAGGGGGGGGGGCTGGGGGGCTGGGGGTTGTCTGCCCGTAGTACCTGCCCGTGTACCTCGCCTCGGCTCCACCTGAAGCGGAGCGTGTCTTCAGCCTCCAGGAGGATGAGAGGGAGGGCCCGAGGTTCACGCCACCGCGTCGTCGGCGCACTCTGGATCTGGATCGTTCACGCTCCGTTCGCGCACCATCCCCGTCGACACGCAGTGTTGTCACAAACAGGCAAAAAATCCCACCTCCCCCCAACAAAACCGCAGCAAAGTGGCGGCCAACCTCAGCCCGCCTGGGCCAATATGCGCTCGCTGAGGCTGAGGTCGGCAGAATGAATGGCAGCCCTTACAGGTACTTGGTGGAAAGTTTGGCCCACCTATTTGTGTGGCAACACCGGCGACGAGCCCCACGGCCCCGCGACATGGCTCGTTCTGCGTGATAGTACTCAACCAGTGACGCCGTCCCGCTCGGCATTTCGGCCTGACACGGCCTGACACCACCGCAGCCCCGCGCAGCACCCCCCCCCCTTTCTTTGGAGCGTTTGTTTTTCGCCCGCAGGACAGCCACCCTGCCGAGGGGTGAATCACCAGCGTACTCATGTGTACAAATTAGCCCTCTCAGTGTACTCACAAGTTTAAAAAGAGCAAAATTCGCTCAGTTTACACGATTGGCGTTGTGTGTCCTTAACCGCTAATACAAGCCAAAAATCGTTTTAAAATGTGAAGTAATGAGTGTTAGAAGGTGTATTCACTCGTACTCATGTACTCATGTGTACACCAGAACGCTGAGGGATTCACCCCTCGCACCCTGCTCCAACCTGCTCGCTGCAGAGGCTGGAGCCACACCTGTCCCCCCCTTCCCTCACACCAGCCCGACCTCCCATGCCCCTGCGCCCCCCGTCGTTCATTCTTTTGCTCGCTGACAAACTCTGCATGCAGGCTCAGCCAATCACGTCGCGCCCCCCTCGCTGCAGCCGGGAAAGAGGGGGGGGGGACTTTATTCAAATTTGAAACGTGATAGCCATGAGAGAGAGAGAGAGAGAGAGAGAGAGAGAAGCCCAAGTGTGGCCGACCGGACGCAGGGAT